CGCTTTATCCATCAATCAATCAACAGCTAGATCCGACCGGCTGTGTGTCCCTCCGCCCCGCCCACAGCCACCAACACTCCAACCATCAGCCGAGGAGCTGGCTGTCGATATCTACAGCTACCTAGCCACACACACTCACCCACACACACAAGCCGACCAAAGTCAATGCGCACAGGTGCACTTTCTGTGTGCCAAGCCAATTCCACTCCTTACATGCTGTGATGCTATCATGTGCGTCTGGCGACGGTGATGGCGTTCCCGCGCATGGTGATGAGCGCCGCCAGCGCTGGCTCCCGGTTGAACAGCCACCGCACGCCTGGCTGCATGTTGAACATCTGCATGTTGAACTGCAGCCTCCCCCAGATGCAGAACTCACGCATAGGATGTTGCCAAAGCGCCGCGGACGCCTTGCTCACGCCGGCCCTGCTGAGGCCAGTGAGCGAGGCCATAAGCGATCCGTTAAAAGCCTCCTCCGTCGCGCCAGCTGGCAAGTCGCCTGCATACCCAGACCAACACAGACAGCCAGATGTGACGTGAGGGATTGCTCAGTCGGTCCTGCTTACCTTCCACATCGATGTGGACCTCGTCGATGACCGGCAGGTCGTGGCTGGCCCACTCCTGCAGCGGCCGGCTATGATCTAAGATGTCACCCGCCGACACCAGGATCCTCACCGACAGGCGCCTCTCGCCCTCCCCCTCGCTGCTGCTGCTACCGCCCCCCTCGCCGCCCCCCTGTCCCTCCCGTGTGGACATGTGCCTCTTGAGTGCACTCAGGAACACCACAGCATTCTTCGCTGCGTCAGAGTGCGTCCCTATGTCCACCAATTCGATGGTGCGGCACTGGGGCATGCTGTTGGCGACCGTCCTGGCCAGGCCGTCGACCACCTCTGCCGACAAGTGCTGTGGTGGACAGCGGAAAATGGTGGCGCTGGGGAAATATACGGTGTCTGCGGCGGCGTTGGGGTCGGTGAGCTCATTCTTGTACACGACTACACCAGCGACAGCGGCAAACTCACGAACGAGCTTCTGGACCTGCACAGAGACCACATCGGAGACAACGATGACGTTGTGATTGGATACATGTGCAGCCGTCCATGGTGTGTTTGGTACCTGAGAGCTTTCATCGGCCATCCACTCGATGAGCTCCAGCCCCATCAGATTCTCGGGACCTGTCACCCGGACGACCTGCGGCTTGTCGAGGGCCTGTGGCTGCAGCACTGCCTCCGATAGCCGTGCCAGCTCACACAATACCCACTTGCAAGGGACCCCCCACTCGGCCACGATGGGCAGCTCGCTGAGGGACTTGCGGCATCCCCGCTCCACGAGGGCCTCCTGCAGGTCGGCCAGCTCATCGTCAATGAGCACCCCCGCATTGAGGGTGCCGATGGATCGCAGGCGGGCAAGGGAAGTGCCGACTGGCGGCACACGCAGCAGGTCCACCTTATCGTAGGGCCTCAGGCCGCCATCGAATGTCTCCAGATGTTCGCATGACGTCATCCACTCCTTCAACTCCCTCCGTTCGTCCAAAGCCGAGTTCGCCTTGAATGTCATGACCCGCACCGACGGCGTGTGCCACACGCGATCGTCCGTACGCACGGCCGCACAGTCGTAGGGCATGGCGTGCACCTCCTCGAGGGCCGACAGGTTGACGGGCGAGGGGGAGGGAGACAGGGGTTCAGCAGAGACGACGTCGCCCACATGATACAGCACCCCATCGTCGCTGTCCTTCTCGAAGCTGAGGACCTTGATGGACGAGGCGGCGGATGGGCTGTCCTGCCTTGACGCCGCTGCTGCTGCCGACGCTCCGCCCTCGGCCTGCCCTTCCTCCCTCCTCTCCCTCATGGCCTTCCTGGCCGCCGCATTGCCCTCGAGGATCGCCACCCAAATCCCACGACACCAGGAGCTGGCCCAGCACGGGTATATGACGTGCAGGTGGGTGTGGTTGGTGGCCCGCTGCCCCCACCGGTATGCCAGCTCCAGCGGGAGCCGCTCCCGCAGCTGGCGCACGCCGCCCTTGTCTGACCCGTCGATGGTCAAGTGGGTGTATCCCTTGGCCGCGCCGTCGAAGACCATCTTGCCGATCTTCGGAGCGACTCGGGCCAGCTCCCATGGTTGGTAGAAGCCGAACACACCCGCCAGCTCATCGGGGGAGAGGCGAAGGCGGGCCTGAACACACAGCCGAGTGTGCACAGATGTGCTTGGGTTACGCGACGTGTATGCTCGCTCTCACCGGTCCATCGTTGGTCGGCGGTTTCCCTGACGTAGAGGTCAGACGAAACGACAGCACCCTCTCCTCTACCATACTACTCTGCACCGGCCAGCAGCACAGGAACAACACGCAAATGCCATACACTGCCCTGCACTCATCCCTCTTCAGTCCACCATACGTCGGCATTCGGAGGCTGTTCAGGTGACGCTTCGACGGCCGCAGCTGCAGGGGCGGTAGCAGACGCACCGATGTCATTCGGTGGCTGATGGGGGAATGACGCCGCTGCTCTCGTGAATGCATCCACCATCGCACTACTGGAGGACTCGGCAACTGACGCGTGAGCGGACGCAGCCGTAAGGAATGCATCAGCAAAGGCATTGCCGTCACGCTGGCACTTCTCGCAGCTCAGCTGTGCGTCCCTCTGCAGCCGCTGAAGGCCCTCCCGCACAACGCCAGCGTCGGCACACAACTGCACCGAACCACACACCACAACAGCAAACCTGTTTTCACTCGCCGGTCATCTTCCGCCCCGTTGCTTCCCTCTCACCTTGCTAGTCATAGTCCCAGATGCTGAGGTCTGGCCTCCGAGCCATCCATCATGGCTACGCGCTATCGCTCGTCAGAAACCGCCCGTGCGATTGCTCGCATGTGACATGTGGCCAGCACAACATGCCACACAAGACCACAAGCTCATTGGGAGGGTTTGGCGCGTCGCTCGTATATTTGATCTCGCGAAGTGGGGAAGAGGATTGAACTAATAGATACGAGCCGTTTTTGCCTGCGACCGTGATGCCCTGTGGTATGCCGACCAGTACATGGCGATATCATGACCCACAACGCGGAGAAACCATCTTAATATCAGTAATGTACGAATGGCAACACAAAGGAGAGAAGAGGCGATTCGGCCGCATGGCGGTTTAGTGAGTGTGATCTTTGGATGTTTTTCTTCGTCTGTGCACATCACATTCATAGAGAATCCATTCCCATCCGTCCTCACCCACCACCACTCCCGGCAGACATATACACACACAACCCCACAGCCGTCTCAGCACTCTGTCTCTGAACCGCTTCACCGAGCCTCTCTACGCTGCGAGCGCTCAGTGTGTCTGAGTCTTCACCCCCTTGGCCTTCCTGCGCCTGAGCATTTCCGCATCATTCGGCACCTTGCAACCCGACCACAGCGTCTTGCCCGCCCCCATATAGGCGTCAATGAACTTGGCCTGGTAGGCATCAACACACAGACAGCCGGACAGCCGGGGTCAGACGGGCATGTTTGTCGTGCTGAGTGTGTGTTACCAGCAGGTCTACGTGGCAGCGGATGTTGACGGGGGAGATGCCCCGCGTCGTCGCAAGGCTGGACGAGTAGTTCTGGCCGGGCTGCAGGGCGCCTTTTTCGCCGGGGGAAGGGGCGGGCAAATCGGTCGGCACTCTGCCGTCGTTGTAGTAGAGGTACAGCACCAGATGAGGCTTCTCCAGCGTGGCCAGGCCGCTGACCTCCTTGCGCGTGAACCACCTGGGTGCAGTCAACACACACACGCACACACACGCAGACAGACAGACAGACGACTTTCCTTGTGTTGACGCGACGGTGCTATGTGTGTATTAGCTGCCCACGTGTAGTTGTGAGCAGACAGGAGTTGGCCCAGCTGGTGGAAGGCGTTGAGGGTGAGATACCGTTGCAAGACCTCTCTGTGGTGCCGCCCCCCCTTCTCAAAGTGGAAGCCAATCTCAAACGTCTGTGTGTGTGAGGACACAGACCAAGTACACAGAGGCATGTGTGTGTCTCCCTCTCTCTCTCGCTGTGTGTGTGTGTGTGTGTGTGCATGGCTTACGAAGTGCCGCAGAGTGCCGTCCGGCTGTTTGGTGGTCATGGTTATGGCCGCATACTCTGCCAGCGACGTGCGAGTCGTTCTGTTGCCGCCAATGCGCTTCGTCCTGCCCACACAGACACCAAATCGTCACACATGTGATGGCTGCATGGACGTGTGTTGATGTGCGTGTGTTGGTGGGCGGCTCACAGGTGCGTGGCGACGGTGAAGGTGATGAGACTGCTAAACACTGGCGGCGTCGTGCCCTCACCACGGGGGAGGTACGGGCACAACACACCGGGGTCATCGGCTAACGTGTAGACCTGACCGACATACACAAATGACGGCACTCGAGCAGGTCCGTGTGGATGTGCGTGTGGGTGTGTGGATGCCTACGAAGAGCGAGATGTCCCCACCGAGAATGGATTTGATCAGATTGTACGTCCGTACAGCGGCGAAGTCCTCCTCGCCAAACACGGGCGCCTCCTCACCTGACACACATGACCCACACACACACCACAACACAACACAGCGATCAGTTTCTGCCTTTCTGCCTGTCTGCCTGGGTGAACAAACACGACGGCCATACGGTGGATGTTGACGGTGGTGGGCTGGCCGTCCTCGCCCCACATGGGCAGCGGCTGATCTATCTCGCGCGGCTCTTGACTGACGGGGAACGGCTCGGGTGCGGCTGTCGATGGCTTGGGCATCACCATGCGATCACCCGCTGGCACCGTCTTCCGACGTCGGCGACGCTGATTCTGCGCCTTGTGCTTGGTCTGCACCGCCAGAGGGCAACACAGGATGCCGACGTGGTTGACTGCTTTGCGGTAGCGTACCATTCTGCCCCCCCTGCCGCCGTCGCCCATCTGCTCACTCAAAGGGCCGCCGCTAACCTGAGCACAAGAGCCACCGGAAGCACACAAGACAACTGGATGCACACGCTTGGCCAAGCGGATCGTCGTTTTCGACTTACCTGATCAATTTCATCACCACCGTGGCCGTCTGGCCCTCCTGCATTCCCATCTACGCCATGCAGATCATCCCCCTCAGCCTGACACGCAGCCAGGTGCGCATCACGCCAATCTCGTGTGTACCAGGCGGACTTCTGCATGTACCTGTGCCTCTTCCTCTTCCTGGTCGTCGTCTGTGTCCCTCTTGCGCTTGCCGCCCCCCGTGGTGCCCTCCGGCTCCTCATGGCTGTCTTCCGTGCTGATGGGCTGCGGTGCTCCACCAACACTGGCACTAGCACTGGCAGATTGTTGTGGCACTGGTCCGATGGGGGGGCCAGCGGGTGGCTGGGCTTGCGCAGTGCCTTGCGCCTGACTCGCAGCCGGAGAGCCTCTCTGTACAGCGACGGGGGGGGCATATACATATACGCCTGCACACATCACATTGCAAAGGGGCACATTGCAGCGAACCTACACGTGGTCTCCTACTCACCGTGGGCGGATGCGCTCGGGTTGAAGTAGCCATAATGGCTCGGAGCGGGGACAAACGCATCCGATGCGTTTTCGCCCGGACGTCTGGACTGACCCGAAGGACAGTCGGGCCGCCAGGGCGGGTTGTTGTGGCCGCCCGACATCACAACGCCTCCCCCCTTCTCCTTTTTCAGCCCTTTCTGCTGCGCGCTTGCGATCGGCGAAAGAGGAGGTTTAGAAGGAGGGGAAGCGCACGGGAAGGGGCGCAGAAAGACACCTCGCTGGTCACAAAGACAGCTTTCTCCGGCAAAGTGCCAGATGAATCATCCAAATGTCGAATGAGAATGACTCGGTCGTCAGTGGGTTGTTCATAGGACAGACCGATTGTGTGGGTGAAGCGAGGCGATCGTGTGTCGGTCGTTCCGTCCAGCCTCGCAAGAGGTGCGATGGAGCGGTGGACCCACGACAGCCAGACATTCTTCGGCAGCCATGAGACTGTGACTTGGCTGAGATGAATGTGTGTGACACGGCATTATTGGGTAAGTCAGTCGTCTCAGACGAGCACCACACACAGCATCGATCGGCGCTGGCAGCTACTCGTGCTATATGGACGTGTAGCCAGAGAGACCCGCCACTTACTTCTGTCTGTCTGTCTGTCTGTCTGTCTGTCTACTCGTCGTCAATCAAAATCAAATCCACCAACAAACATACCAGTCTGCAGCACTGCCCACTGGCAGTGAAAAAGGCCAAAAACAAACTCGCCCACCCACCCATCCCACCCATCCCACCCCCTCCTTATGCACACAGCACCCGCCATGCACACACACATACACACACGCAGAGAGGGAGAGGGCGGGGTGGAGACCTTTCCTTATTCACTCATTCAGTCAGTCATTCGTCAGCGGCCGAGATCGGTCGTGAGGGAGGCGGAGGCAAAAAAGGCAAGGCATATGATGCACGTGTGAAGGTGTGACGTGACAGGGGTGGTGTGATTGTGGGTGGTGTCTATGTGTCCATGTGACTGAGTCAGTTAGTCAGTGAGCATTGATTAAAATGGACGAGGCGACTATTGCCTGCATCAGCAGTCATTGTGTATATGTGGAAAAAGGCAATGGAAGGGCAGGCAGGCAGGCAGGCAGGCAGGCAGGAAGGTAAGCAGACATAAGGGCGGATGTACTGCTACCTCTGTGTTGTGTGTGTGTATACGATGGATGGGAGAAGGAAAGCCCTGCGATGGTTTGTATGTATCACTCAAGTGTCACTCAAGTTAAGTGCGTGTGGGGGCGGGGGCGGGGGCGGGGCGGCTTAGAAAGGTTAGAAAAGGGCGGCGTGCAAGGCAATGGATTGGATTGCATCCCTCCGTCTGTCTACAATCTGTCCATACCGCTCTCTATGATCTATACGCTATACACCGACCCACCCATCCATCCATCCATCCGTCCACTCATCCGCCCACAAAGACGCCGATGCAATAAACTCACTCACTGCACACCACTGCAATCATTGATAAAACACGACACGCAATTCCAAACGACATTAACACACACACACACACGAGGGCGCTGCGCATCCAGCCATGGCCAGGCAGCCAGCCGGGACGCATCGCATTTCAGACAGACAGACACGCATTCCATTCACTCGTTACTCACTCATCGGGGGGTAAGACACATTCGGCAGGGGGGTGTCAAAGGGCTCCGCACACACACACACACACACGGGCAGACAGGCAATCCATCCATCCATCCAGCCAGCCAGCCATCGACGTGGTGCGACCGCGTGTGTGTGTGTGTGTGTGGCGCACCCGTCCCGCCCCTCGCAAATCCATGCATCATCGACCATCCCTGTGTATGTAGACACAATACATTACACCACAACACGACACTGGATGATGCAAAAAAGGCCACCGGCATGGCACGCCACACACATAGATATACATGGCCTCCATGTCGGCAGGACAGACAGCACAAACAGACAGGTTAAACTCACTCATCTCTTGTCGTCTCATCTCGTCTCGTCTGGTCCGGAAGGAAGCTCCTTATGGAAAAAGGGTACCCTCACACACACGCGCACACACATCTTCACCAGTCTGGTGGGCAGACAGACACACACACACATCCATCCATCCATCCATTCGCCGACCCATGTGCATGCCAGAGGCATCCCCGATCCGATTCCCCCCCACGAGAGGCCGACAGGCATGCAGTCAGTCAGGCAGGCAGGTCAAGATGTGACGGTATCTATGTTTGTTATAAACTCCCAGTTGTCCGGCCGGCCAAAAAGGTCTCATTCCTCTCCTCCTTGTCGCTTCCAAATACTCGTCAGACAGACGCCATCCACCCCACATAGCCAGATAGATAGACAGACCGACGACGACCCCCATACGTGGTTCAGAAAAAGACACATACGCAGGGGGACACAGACACAGACACATACACATACACGTCCACACACATACACAGGTTGCGATAGGACCGGACGGACCAACAGACAGACCAGGACAGATAGCCAGTGAGTGCACACCCACGACACGAACCGCCGCACCCACACACACACACAAACAAAAAGGATAAAACCTTCCCTTCCCACCCCTCCCACCGCTCCATCAGCCCATCTCTCTCTACCGCCGACAGCCAGCCTCGGTCGGCATCTCATCCAGCAACAGGCGCTTGAAGGGCACCAGACCCCCATGCCTCATGGTCACGTGGCTGCCATGGCCATGGCCATGGCCACATACCCCCACCCCGTCGTCGGAGGACGCGCTGTCCTCCAGGTCCATCATCGGCGGCGACAGCGGCGGATCGTCGGACAGCGCACCGGTGGACGACGTGCTGCACGAGGGCGGCTCGTAGTTGTGGGAGCTCTCCGGCTCCTTGAAGCGGACACGGAGGTGCTTCTTGTGCTGGCTGTGGGTGTGGGTGTGGGAGGGGATGGATGGATGGCGGCAATGGTCCCTCCGGCTCGCCTTGTTGCCCTCAGAGCCCACACCCGAGCCGTGGTCGCTGGCCGTCTCCGTCTCAGTGTGCGAAGTCATAGTCATGATGTCGGGAGAGTTGGTCACGGCCGCGCGGTGCGCCTCCATGGTGCCGTTGAGGTCAACGACCACGCCAGCACCACCACCAGCAGCACCACCACCACCAGACACGAGATGCCGGTCGGCAATCGGCAGACGCAACACATCCATCCCGACAGTCCCCTCCGTCTCTCTCTTCCTCTCTCTCTCCAGCTGCTCCCTCGCCATGCCCAGCGGGTCGGCAGCAGCCGGCCCCCCGCCCATCATCGACATGGACATCCCTCTGCTGCCCCGGCTGCCGCTCGTCGCCTCGCTGTCGATGCTGCCCGTCTCCTCGGGCACTGCGTCCTCAAAGCCAGGGGGCGGGGGCGAAGACAACGGCGTGCGGGCAGCATGACGCAGCGACGAGTTGCCGGGCGTCCATATCGACTCCTCTGCGACAAACGGGGGCAGTGCGCGAGGCGTGTAGGCGGGCTGTTTGCTGGGAGTGGGTGTTGCCGGCGGTGGAGGGTGGGAGTAGGCGTGTGCGACATACGTGGCGTGGGTGGCCGTCTGACATCCCCTGGGGATCGGCTCGCATGAGGCGCTGTCGTCCATATGGATGTCGGCCGCCCAGTCGCCCGCCTCGGTGAGGGTGTCGAGGCGGTCGCCCACTCCGCCCCAGAGGCTGTCGAGCCAGGAGGGGCACCCCGCAGCCGTACCGGGAGTGAAGGGCGTGTGAGGGGTCTTGGGTGTGGGCATGGGCGTGTGTGTGTGTGGGTAGGGGTGGCCACCGAGCTTGGGCAGCTGCAGGGGTGGCTTGTGGTCGTGAAGGAGGGGCGGGGTGGATGAGGCCACCGAGCTGATGGTGGTGGCGCTGGAGTGTCGCTCCACGGCGATGGGGTGTGGGTAGTGTTGGTGTGGTGGAGGCGGTTGTGATGGCGGGGGCGGCGTGGGTGGGGGCGGGGGGATTGGGACTGGGACGGGGATGTGCGAGTCATCTTCGTCTGAGTCGGCGGTGAACTCGTGCTCGATGGCCTGCAGCACCAGCTCTAGCCCAGGGGGGATCTGTTCGCACAACGACACCAACCACACCACACACACCCATCCATCCATCCATCCCACCCTCCCTCCCTCCTTCCCTCCCTCTGTTTGCGCCTGACCTCATTTCTATCGACATCGATCCGCAACGGCGTCCGCCACTCCTCATCCATGTCATCGCCAGTCCAGTCCAGCCACTCGGGCACCTCCTCATCGCCATCAACACCACCACAAACACCGCCATGCATCACGCCCCCCACACCCGAGGGGGTGCTGATGGCGCCGGGAACAGCACCATGATGGTGCTGGTGGCGTTGGGTGAGGTCCAGCCGGTCGCTGCTGTCGACCTGGCTGAGCAGGGCCGCTGTCCGCAGCACGTGGCTCAGGTCCAGACCAGCTCGGATGTCGCGCCGGAGACGCGTCAGCAGACCACGACTGCAGCAGGGAGGACATTATAGCGGAGAGAGGGGTGTGTGTCGGGAGGGTGACACCTGGCGAGTGTGTGTGTGTGTGTGTGGCAAATACCGTTTTCTGAGGTAAGTGAGAGCGGCCGTGTAAGAGTCGAAGATGCGGTCCTTCTCGTATTCCCGCCCGATACCCACAAGACCTGCGACCTTCACAGGATTATCAACAGACACACTATCACCTAAGCACACACACAGGCACACCAACACACACATACACACACACAATGCGTCCGTCCATCGTCCCACCCACGTCACCGCCCCACACCCGCCCCCGATCGGCACTTACGATTGGACACATGCGACCCCCATTTGATGAATTTCTTGAGGCTCCTGAACGTCCTCCACTGAGGGATGTCACCCACGGCCGCACTCAGACCCATCAGCACGTGGTGCGGAGACGAATACCCACCCACACCCATCCCCACACCCATCAGCGTCGCCGACGAGTAGCAGCCCGCAGCTGGCGTCGTCAGCGACCCGTTGCCATGGCCGTACTGCTGATGCTGGTGGTGGTGGTGGTGGTGGGCGAATCGGCCGCTGTTGGGTGTGGGAGTGAGGGAGGCGTGGTATGTGTGGGAGTGGGAGGCCGCCATGTATGCCGCGGACCTGGAGGTGAGGTCGCCTGCAGCTGACGGGTGCAGGGGGAGCGGGGGAGGGGGCGGGGGCGGACGGGGCGACGAACCACCTGCACTCCCGGACACACACAGTGCAGAGTCTCTATGGTCTGTCTGTCTATCTGTCTGTCTGGGTGTGGGTGTTTGGTTACCGATGGGTGTGGCAGCCGACGCACTGGTGTTGAGCGGCGTCATGACGTCAGACACGCCACCAGCACCCCCAGCACCACCAGGCCCACCGCCAATGCTGTCCGGCTTGAGCCTGACGAAGTAGCAGTTGCTCTCCTCCTTGGTGACCTCGAAGCACTCGGGGAAGGACTGGATGACGTAGAGGAGCTTGAGCTTCTTGCACCAGGTCTTGATCTTCTCGTCGTTGCCCACGCTGCGGAAGCTGAGGCTCCGGTTGTCCCGGCTCCGCAAGAGGTGGATCAGACGGTCACGTATCAGCAGCTTCCGCTCGCGGACCGTCTTCATCTGCCCCACACCGCCGAACGACGCTAAGCCACCAGCACCACCAGCGACAGGGGACGCTCCAGGGGGCGGGATGACTGGCGGGAGGGAGAGGGAGTGTCCCCCCCACTGCGGGGCATTGTGTGCCTGTGAGGGGGGAGGCGGTGGTGGGAGCGACGGCGGGGGCGGGAGAGGGGGGTTGAGGAAGGGGGCGGTGCGATCATGGCCAGAGAGAGATGAGCCGATATCGTGTCCACCAGGCATCATCTACACTCGACGATAACAAGATGCGGTCACTCGCAGCGATGAATCAGACGAGGGAAGCGGACTCCAACACATAGTGGATGGATGACTGCAGTGTCCTCAGTCAGTCCTCAGTCCTCAATAAACAAATCAATAGGACACACACCGAAAAAGGTCAGACAGACAGACAGCCGGACGGTCGTGACATGACATGCGCGACCGACAGACAGCGATGGGATGGAAGCCGCGGTCGCTCGGTCGGGTGCGATGCGATCAGGTCCGGGGAGGGAGGGATGCGATGCGATAGTGTAGCGGGTGGGGTCTGGGTGCCTCACAGCATCGCTGCCACTGGTCGGTTGGTCAAACAAAGAGGGAGGGGATAGGGAGGATGAAGATAGATGGAGGCGGGCAGCGGGTATAGCGTCGGGTGGCCCTGCGTGCTGCGCCTCCTGAAGAGATCCGCCAAGGAGGAGAGGTCTCTCACTCAAGCTCGCAGAAAAAGCTCGCAGGGCGAAAGGGAGAAGGAAAGGGAAAGGGGCAAGGGTATAAAGCAACAAAGCACAACCATGGATCGTTTGAGTGTGATCAGCGGCCACTTCCATGCGGGCGCATCCCCTGCGCCCATCAGGGAGACCCTCACCATCGTCGACAACAGAACAGGTGTGTCGCGTCACACACGAGGGAGGGGAGGGAGTCAGAGCAATTGAAGAAAGGACAGCACGCTTCCGCCTCATCCAAATGATTCATCCTCTACCCATCTATCTCTCTATCTCTGTGTCTGTGTGTCTGTCTGCCACTGGGGTGAGCGATTACAGGTCGCAAGTACGAGGTGTCTGTGCAGGACAACACGATCAAGGCAGTGGACCTGAAGCAGATCAAGGACTCGGACGGGACGATCCTGCAGTCGTACGACCCCGGCTACACCAACACCTGCGCGTGCACCTCCCGCATCTCCTTCATCGACGGCGGCAAGGGCATTCTCAGATACAGGGGATACCCCATCGAACAACTCGCTGAGAGGACCACCATGGAAGAGGTGGCTGACTCACACACTCACTACTGGAGGAGAGGAGGCCGGGAGAGGGGAGTGGTGATCGATCTGCCTGTCTGTCTGGTTGTCTGGTTGTGTGTCTGTTGCAGATTGCCTTTCTCTTGTGGTACGGCGAGCTGCCCTCCGCCGACCAGCTGGACCGATTCACAAAGGGGTGAGCGAAGCGAGCAGAAGAAAGAACCACCATTCCATCACAACCGCAATACGGCTGTCTGTCTGTCTGATCATCCAGTTTGTTGAGCCACGCGAATCTTCACGAGGACGTCAAGTCGGTCATCCGCGCCCACCGCCACGACGCCCACCCCATGGGCATCTTCATCGCCGCACTGGCCAACCTCGGCACTCTCCACCCAGAGGGCAACCCCGCCCTTGCTGGACAGGGCATCTACAAGGCACGTGACGTGCGTGTGTGGCTGTGGATGGATGGATGGATGGATGGACAGCCGCGGCTCTCTCTTGTCATGATGTGGGGGTGTGGTGTTGTAGGATGTGTCAGTGCGGAATCGGCATATGCTTCGCATCCTGGGCGGCGCCACCACCATCGGCGCGCTCATCCTCAGGTTAGATTGGCTGGAGGCCGGGTGGGGTGGGCCAGCCACAAAGGAAGTATACTTACTTAGTGCAGGAAGGAAATGTGTGGTGGTTGTGTGTGTTTAGGCACCGCACTGGTGGGTCGTTCATTCCGCCCAACGAGTCGTTGGGCTTCACCGGGAACTTCTTGTACATGCTGGACGCCCCAAGCCACCCGTCAAACCCATTCAGACCTCACCCGAAACTCGTCAGGGTCAGTCAGCGAAACAAACGCACAGAGACGGACGAGACAAGAGGGGCGGAGCAGCGAGCAAGCGCGTATTGTCATTTTCTGTATCTGTGTGGTGTGCATCATGCAGGCGTTGGATGTGCTGTTCATCCTTCACGCTGAGGTGAGCAGAGGGGAGGGGAGAGGAGGAGGAGGGGTGTGGGTCGGAGGCGGACCGCTGTCTGTCTGTCTGTCTGTCTGTCTGTGACAGCACGAGTTGAACTGCAGTACATCTGCAACGCGACACCTGGCGTCATCCAACGTCGACGTAAGTAAGACAAGGCCAGACAAGACAAGACAAGACCCATTCATTGGTGTGTGTCTGTCTGCTCTGTCCTTCCTTCCCTCGTCCATCCATCCAGGTGTACACCACCATTGCTGGGGCAACGGGCGCTCTCTATGGCCCACGACACGGGGTACGTCAGGGGCGGTGGGGGGTGGGGGGCTATGCTGGGTAGGAGGCGCCTGTCCGTCTACGCGCTCACTTGTGTGTGTGTGTGTGTGTGTGTGTGTAGGGTGCGAACGAGGCCGTGGTGCGAATGCTCGAGAAAATCGGAAAGTGAGCAAAGGCCGATCACACCAAGTCAAGGGGCGGGGCGAAGAGGTCTGCTTGTCGTGTGTGCATTATATATCGATAAGGGTTGAGAATATCCCTTCCTTCCTCGATCGAGTCAAGAAGCGAGAGGTGGGCATGACATATGTCGACAAGAGCATCTATCCCATCCTTCAAACCCATCCACACATCTCTCCTCTCTGCTTGATTGACCTCTCTCTCTCTCTCTCTCTCTCTCAGGAGCTGCTGATGGGTTTCGGCCACCGCGTCTACCGTAGCTACGACCCACGCGCAAGAATCATCAGAACGGTGGGTGCGTTTGATGCGTGCGTGCGGCCGTCCACACACACAGCTGTGACAGGCAGACAAGACACACATGGGGGCGGGGCGTCGTGCTGGCTGCTGTTGGTGTTGGTGATGGCGGCCTGGCTGTCAGGTCGCCGAGGAGGTGTTCGAGGTATTGGGTCGCGAGCCCATGATCGAGGTCGCCATCGAGCTCGAGAAACGGGCGCTCAACGTGCGTGAGGGACCAACACAGACACGGGCGGATATGGTCGACGGGTGTGTGTGTGTGTGTGTGCGTCAGGACGATTACTTTGTGAAGCGCAAGCTGTACCCCAACGTGGACTTCTACTCGGGGCTCATCTACAAGGTATGGATGGGCCAACACTCATACACACACACTCATTCATTCAGGAGGCATGTCCTCGATTCTCGAGCTGCTGAGTGATTGATTGATCTGATTGGATGTCTCTTCACTCACCAGGCGATGGGGTTTCCGACTGATTTCTTCCCCATTCTCTTCACCATCCCGCGAATCGCCGGATGGCTCGCACACTGGTCGGTCAGCCAGTCGTGGATGTGCGTGGCCTGTGTGGTGTGGTGTGATGCTTTGTGTGTCCACCAGGAACGAGTTCCAGGATGACCCCGAGAACCGCATCGTGCGGCCCTTCCAGGTCTACAAGGGATACGACCTGCGGGAACTGCCGCACACATCCAAAGCCGCCAGGCCAAAGGTCAGCCACACACTCACACACACAGAGAGAGAGAGAGAGAGAGAATGTGTGTGGGCTGTGTGTGTGTTTAGTTGGTGTCCGACTCTGCCCTGAAGACGCAGACCACGTCGGCGGAGCGGCGAGGGGCTGTCAGGAGCTGACAGGTTGTTGCTGTGCGCGGGGTGGTGTGGCGTGGTGTGGTGTGGTGCACTTGCTTGTCTGTCGCATCTCCGTGTGTGTTGTGATTTGTCGTGGCGGCGCGTGTGTGAGTGAGTGTTTAGTAAGGGAGAGAGATGCGGTGCAGTGGGATGCGACCGGCCGGCCAACCGCAGGTCGCCTTCATGGACTGGATGGTGGACGACGAACGCCTCCACCCGCGGGGCATTTTCTCCGTCATGATGTTCAGCGGGTCACCACACCGGACGAGTGGATGTTTTCTGTGTCTCTGTGTGTGCGTATGGATGCGATGCAGCCAGCATAGTGTGCGTAAGTGCGTGAGTGACTCGTGTCGACTGACTCGTGTCGCGTCGTGTGGGCGTCCATCCATCCCCCTTTTCCTGTTGGTGTGGTCTATCTCCTTCCTCCGATTGGATGACCGACACCGGGTCATTGACTGGTGCCCCCACCCCACACACACACAGGCACACAGTGAGAGGTCTAATTGACCACATGTCCCCATGTCGGCATGTCAGGAGAGTGTCACACACATAGCCATTCATTATACACACACTCATACATACATACACTACCCCACGCAATGCATTCGGTGAGAGTTTTTCGTATCTACAAGGGGGGGCGGGGCGCACATGGCGGCGGTTCAAAGGGTGGGTGAGTAGGAAAATCTCCCCTTGCAATGCATTCCATTCATCTCCTCTCGTCAAAACTGCCCCTGTCTGTCTGTACCTACCGAAAAATGCCCTGTCTGTGCACTGCACCGGTGGCAAAAGAATCCCCTAGACACTCACGAGGGAAATTAGGATATATGGTACACATACATACGAGCAGAGCGATACATAAGAGACAGACAGACAGGAATCCTCCGATCGACCCACTCGACTCGACTCATAAAGTATCCCTCCTGCCTTGCTGCATCCTCGATGACACCCTCCCTCCCTCCCTCCCTCCCGCCCTACTGCTCTCACTCCCCTTGGATCACCCTCCCTCGGATACAAATACAGACAGACAGACAGCTCCCAGCTCTCCTCACCCCTCCCTCCCTCCTCTCATCTGTACACTCATACTCACTCCAATCACTACAGCAGACAGGCGCACACATCCAGCCGTCTGACTGACTTCACTACACAAAACTGAGACCTACACTACACCCATTCAGACACCCACCACTCGATATATACGGAGAGGGAGGGGAGGGGAGGGGAGGAGGCACGGCACGGACATAGGCAAGCAAGCAGCGCTAGACTGGCTGACAGACAAACCAGACAGACACGTACGGACGGAGGAAAGACAGACAGGCCGATGAAGCGATGAAGGGAGGAAAAGGAAAGCAATCAAGTGGCTTGGCTTGGCTTGGCGGGATATACCAAAACTGTTGCCTCTGTCTATGGCTGGCGGGCCTTGTACACACACACACACATCCATCCATCCATCAACTCATGTAGGCACTGAGAGAGGGGAGGAAACGGAAGAACGACCACATCACATCTGCGCTGGGCTGCGATCTGGTCGCTTAAAACAAAGGGCCGCTTCCCTGCCTCCCTCATTGCCGCGCTATGTGCGTCCCAGGTTCTCCCCAAGGAGGCTGTGGGGGTTATACCGCCCAGTGAAACGATCAGCCACCCACGCCGCCCACGAGTCGGGCTTCACCCGATACTACACACAAACAAAGAGACCGGAAGTCAACCAGTCAATGCTTCTGTCTGTTGAGTCGGGAGTGTTCGCTCACAGGGTATCCAAATCCTTCGATGTATCCCGTCAGCATTCTGCTCGCTGTGCTGCTCTTAGTCCCTACACAGACACACACACACACACACACAGAACAGAGACAGAGACAGAGAAAGACAGACAGACAGACAGACCAGACAGAGAGACGAATGAACGAACAGCCGCTCATGGCCTTCGTGGGCCTCTCCGACTTTCTTTGACTGACTAGGGTTTCTTGAGCAGTCGACATGCAGTGTGATGCCTTGGGAGCACTCCTCCAGCGACAGCGCCTCCTCGTCATCTTCCAAACTCTCAAACACGTCAGCCAAAGACGTCTTGACGCACTCGGCCACCTCAACCTGCACACACGCACAGAAACAAACAGAGGGAGGCCGACGAATAAATGGATGGATGGATGGACTTGCGCACCGCACCCACCGTGTTTTGCACTTCCCGCAGCAGCCGGACGGCGAGTGCTGGGAAGTGGAGAGAGGGGAAGACCTCCTTAGCGGCGTAGTAGCGTGCGCCGTTGCCAGGCGAGTACAGACAAATGGCCGTCGCAAACACAACCAAAGGACCGTGAACCTGAATCAAATCAAATCAAATCAATCAGATATGCCATCCCATCCCATCCAATGAAGGGATGGATCTGCTTGCAGCGGTGCGTGCTGTGCGAGTGGGTGTGGTTGTGGTTGGCCACGGTGGCTGCCTGCCACACTGCCTGACCTGAGAGTCGCTGCCGACGTGCACCTCGAGCGTCGGGTTCCTCTCCCTGGAGCCCCTGATCTCGTCTATCATGCTCGAATAACTCCTGGGACCCTTGGGGGTGATCCACCTGACAGACACCACACAAACAAACACACAGACAGACAGACAGTCAGAAGACTCATCACATCGCACCGTTAAAACCGTACCCTCTCTCAACCCAATCGACGCGTGTGTGTTCTCCCCTATCGAGGTACTCCTTCAGGTACCGATGCCGCACTTTGGGCGACCACGAGGCCTTCATCCGCAGCACGTTTGGCCGCCGCGGCCGCCCACAAGGCGAGGCAAACGACGCGTCCCTGCTCCCACGGGATGCGGCTGCAAGGACGAGGGCCGCCAGCAGCGCCACAATGGGAAGGATGACGGCTGTCGAGAGCTGCGAAAGCCACTTCATTGGCAGGGAGGGAGATGACTGCTGCAGTAACATGGCCGACGCCACGCTTGGGCGGCCGCCGTCCACTTGAGATCTCTCAAGCACACCAGCCTCCTGCTCCTGCTGCTTCAATCAAATGATGGACGTCTCAGATCTGAGCTCGCAGGTGGGTCGACTCGCGAGATCTGAAGCCATTTCGAGCCTGTGAGCACATCCCTGCAGGTGGGCAACCATGCAGGAGCCGAATGATCATCAATCTATCTGATTTCTGAAGGATTGCGCTGTCCACGTGTTGGCTCCTGTGGCTGTCTGTGCAGGGACGCAGCGGTTTTGTCGGTCACTGCGACTGGCGGCAAGAGTCTGTGCATTGTGTGTGTGTGTGGAAAGCCCACAGACATTGTCGACCAAGATGATGGAAACACTGTCGACTCGCGCCAACACGCTGTTTTGCAGCTTCCTGAGCTGCCTCGCCTTCTTCGCCGTGCTCAACCACCTGTCGGCCTATGTGATGTTTGACCCGACGCCGCGGATGGATGTGCTCGAGGTGGAGAAGGTCTTCCCCATCCGAAACACGCGGCAGGGCGACCAGGCCGTCTTCTCCTTCAACATGGAGGCGGACCTCTCCTCCGAGTTCCACTGGAACCTCAAGCAGCTCTTCGTCTACCTCACGGCGTCCTACGTCACGAGCAAGCACAAGCGCAACGAGGTCACCGTCTGGGACAAGATCATCGAGACGGTGGACGACTCGGTGCTCAGCCTCAGCAGCGAGCAGGTTGAGTACGTCCTCAAGGGGGAAGACTACCTGCGGGACAGGAATGTGACTTTGCGGCTCAAGTACCGCACCATGCCCATCATCGGACTGATGCGCGAGAAGGTCATGCCGCTCACCAAGACCTTCAAGCTGCCCGGCAGCTATGACCACGGCGCCAGCAGCAGATGACCGACGGCCGAGGGGAGAGGGGAGGGAGAGGGTTGGTATGGTGTTTGTCAGATGTGTGTGTGTGTGTGTGTTGGCCATCTTGCGGCGAATTAAGGTCAGGTGTTCTTGAGTCGGTGGTGTTTGCTCGTAGGTGTGGCACTCTGCTTTAAGATGTGGTGCGTGAGATGTATGTGATATGATGCGATGATGCAGCCGCCACTGCAGAGTGCCGCTCAGCTTCTGATGAGCTTCTGCTTGTCGTGTGTGTACTACATGCTTGCCCGTCAGTCAAATATGAGTCAGACTACGTGTGTGTTGACTGACTTCTGCTTCAATCGACCACTCTCTCACCGATCCTACTGCAGAGAGAGAGCGGTTACTGCAGGGTTTGAAACCCCTCAACCCCAACCCTGCATGAACAGCATCGAGGACCGAATGAGCGTTGTTGGTTGCGTGTCAAGTTAGCTGCAATGGGTCGTTCGAAGAGCGGCGCGGCGGCCGCGGACGACAAACACACCCTCGTGTATGAGGTAGAGAACGTTGTCGACTTCGATATCCGAGATGGGGTGAGTGCACAGGGGACAGCAAAGAGAGCAGCCCGCTGATGGATTTGGCATTCCCTCTGCTCTGTGCTGCTTGTTGTGTCAGAAGCCGTTCTACCTGCTGCGTTGGAAGGGGTGGCCCGAAACGGACAACAGCTGGGAGCCGGAGGTAGGTACGCACTGTCCGCCAGGCCAGGCGGCCTCGCAGGACGCATCGCATTGCATGCAGAGGGCCTTCATGGCTGTGCTTGGTGTGCTGTGTGTGCAGGAGAATTTGACCAGGACACCCAAGATGGTGGAGTGGATGCGCCGGGCCAAGAAGAAGCGGGGCGTTGACGACGATAGCGAGGAGGTCGAGAGGAAGAAGACACGCACGTAGGCAACGAACGGCACAGACGGGGGCGGGGGCGTCTGCTGGCTGGGGTGGGTGGTTGATGACTGAATGGCCATTCATTCATTCGTTCAGTGAGGATTCGCCTTGGGCGCACACCCGCTCGGGCGCGGCAGCTGCTGCAGGGACACCCGCGGTGGCCAAGCCTCCCCCTAGTGCAGCTGCCGAAGGCTCGGTGGGATCGCAGGTCTCACACACACACACACCACACCGGCAAGAGGCGCGAGGATGCTTTGTCTTCCATGGTATGGTCAGGTAGCCAAAGTGGGTGGTGCCCCGAGGCGTCAGGCGGCCTCACCGAAGCCGAAGGCCTCTCCCAGCTTCGCCCAGCGGGGGGCTCTGGCTGCTGCCGCACACGCAAGTAGGCAGTGGATGGATGGATGGATGGATGGGCGGACACTCCTCCCTCGCCGGGTATGATATGATGTGTGGACGGTGCGGTGTGTGGTGTCAGATGCGGTGGCTGCTGTGGCTGCTGCGAGCCGGGCGGCTTCTGGGGCTGGATCTGCGTCGGCGGCTGCAGGCGGCGAGGACACACTAGTGCGGGTATAGTTACGCCATCGCACACAGAGAGGAAGGAAGCGCCGTCTGACCTCTGTCTGTGTCGCACATGCGCCCCTCTTGACTGCCTGTGTTGATTCGTGTGTGTGTGTGTCAGGTTGTGTTATCGTTCGATGGCAAGGAGAGGACGGTGAAGGTGGAGGGCCACCGCGACGGAAACTATATCCTCGACCGATGTGAGCAGACAGCCGTCCACACCCACCCACTCGGCCGCCTCCAGGCACACCATACCTCTTGTGGGTCTATGCGTGTGTGTGTGTGGTTCGTGTCATGTAGTCTGTCCGAAGTTGTTGGATCGCGAGTCGGCGTGTTTGACGTGCGATGGCGACCCCGTGGACTCCAACGTGACGATCGGCGTGCTGCATAAGAGCAAAAAGGCCGGCGGCGACCTCAACCTCGTCTTCGAAAAGGGCGAGGAGTGGTGAGGGTGTGGAGGGGGAGACGGCGCGAGAGATATGATGTGAGCTAGGCGGCTGCCTGCAAATGCACGACCCATAGAGAGAGAGAGAGAGAGACAGTAAAGGCGGTGTTGATGGACGGAGAAAGAATGAGGTGTGCTCACTTTTTCTCCATGTGCGAGGATGTGCACGAGTGCATGTGTGTGTGCGTGCGGTTGTGCTATATGCGGTTGGCTGGCGTGTGCTGAGAGTAATTGTGTGCAATTGTATTGTACTCGATCTGATTGATGGCCTCTCGTGTACGTGTTGATGGACTGACTGGCGAGGCGAGAGACCTTCACACGGCATGCCATGGCTGGCTCAATCCAATCGAGGGACACGTGGCGGTTGTCGCCGCATCGGTATTTGTTTGGTGCTGGCTGGGAATGGAGACCGTCACTCAAGATGCGAAACGATAAAGGGAATCTGACATCTAGAGTGGATTCAGTCAGTGTTTCATCGCACGGTGTCATCTGTGCTTTGCCATGTGCTGCTGGGGTCCATGCCCCCCCCTCGCGAAGACGGGCAAACGAGAATGCGCAAGGTGCATCCTTGTTTGCGCGTCTCCGGTGGTGGGTACAGACCGCAGCACCGCACAGCCACAAACCAGTGTTGCCCAGCCTTGCCTTCCTCTCTCTTCCTCTGCCAGTCTGCTGGCTGAAATGTCTCCGCCAACGGTCACAGAGGCAAGGCTGCATTCTCACAAGACGAGAATGCGGCAGCGCCTCTCTGGCAGCTGCATTAGACATTTCAGACGACCGACATGTCTGTACCAGGAGCCCAAGTCAAGTCAGCACAAAGACACACGCGTTGATCCATCGGTCCATCGTCAATTCACCTAAGAGCACATCGGCCCTTCTCACTCACTCCCAGACCCTTCCCGAATCAATCAACCGCACACCCACACGAGCCAGGTCAAGCAAATCAAAACACCACTCAAGCCATGGTCAGCAAATCTTGTCTCGCTGCTGCGAGTTATTTGGTGGGTGCTGTGTATGCCTCCATGAAGAAGGAACGGGCGTGGCGCAGATTGGGGGGCTTCGGGTCAACACTGGACACACACACACAAGCGGACCGATTCATCCTCTGCGTGGGTGCAGTGCGGTTGTGTGTGTCCATCCCTTCCTTCTGACCGGTCGACGTAGTCGCCAAACACCTGGGGGCCGTGCTGCGAGTTGGCGTTGGTCGAATACACCTGACACACAGATACACGACAACACAACACAACCACACCCGGGCCAACGTCATGGGCACTCGCCTGGCGGTCCGAATGACGCGTTTTGTGAGGTGTGTTATGTTACCATTTCTGTCTTGGGTGTGCTGAAGGTGATGGTGTCGGTGTTGGAGTCACCGTACGGCATCATGTTCAGACGCACTGACAACACACACACGACACCAACGTGCGCCTCTCGTCAGCGCGTGTATCTTAAACTTGTTTGAACCCAGCTTACATGGCATTTTGTCGACGGGGTGCGGCGTGACTTCCTTGGGCGCCAGGTAGGAGCATAGCACCTCAAAAGAGCGGGTCTCCGTCGCGTCAGTGATCGCCTCCTCCCTGCACACACACAGACGCAACACATAGCACACCCAGCCAGAGCCAGTGAGCGTACGCAAAAGCCGGATCTCT